GCGTGGGGCAGAGAGGAGCGAGTATGAGAAGCATTCACAGACACAGGCTGTGTGTGCGCTCTTCTGAATTGGGAATAGCCAACATGCATCATAAACTTATTTCAAATTAATCTGTTGGGGAGATAAAATGTGTAAGATAGCATTCACGTACTAACAAAAACATCTAAGGATGTATCTTTTATTCTCCAGTGCTGAAAACAGAACCGATACGGGAGCTTTTGATATGCGCTGTGATGCAGCTCTTGGAAATTTCCTTTTTTGTTCGTTGTCAGTCATTTCGAAGCTTAAGTTGCATACGGTTTTCTTTAGTTTTAATTTGCCTAACTATCGATCTGACCCAGTAGACGCCATAATCACACTCTGTCTCTCTCCCGTCCCGCGTTCCATTATTTTATTTTTGTTAATGGTGGGTGTTTACGCAGTTGGCTAGAGCAGTGCTGATTGGGGAGAACAGAGGTGCGCTCACTCTATTGGTTAGTAAAACTGCAACTCAAGGCTGGCAGTCATGCATATGCTCTGGAACAGAGTAATATCGTGTCCACATCGCAGGCTTTCGAATAAGCGCACAGCCCTAATATCAAGTACAGAAACTTTTGTAGATCAGAGTGAAAGAGCATTTCCCTGAATGCATCACCTGTTATTCAGTAGATATACACTACCAGTCAAACCTTACATATTATGATTTTTTTTTTATTCTCTCCTGCTCACGTAGACCGCATTTATTTGATCTAAAATACAGTAAAACTGAAATATTATTATGATTTAAAACAGCTGTGTGATGTGTGCTTTCTATGTGAATCTCTGTTCAACTGTAATGTATTTCTGTGATGTGCAGCTGTATTTTCAGCATCATTACTCCAGTCTTCAGTGTCACATGATCTTCAGAAATCAGTATAATATGCTGATCTGCTGCTCAAGAAACATTTCTGATTATTATCAATGTTGAAATAATATTTTTGTGGAAATCGTGAGACATTGTATTTTTCAGGATTCACAGATGAATAGAAATGTCTTCAATTTAATGCATCCTTGCTAAACTGTCTTTCTTCTTTGATTGAACTGACAGTAGTGTATGTCTGCATACAGTCTCAGATTCAGATGAGCGTCATGTTTTCTCTGTGTTCGTGTGTTTCAGGGCTCAAAGTCTCCGTCGACTCTCAATCCTCCTTCAGCCGCGTCCGAGCGTACGGTGGCCTGGGTGTCCAACATGCCGCATCTGTCTGCAGACATCGAGAGTCTGCGTGTGGATCGCGAGGACTTCAAACTGAAGGAGCACTCTAAGAGCATGGATGAGTCCCGTCTGGACCGGGTCAGTACTGACGTTACTGTAACGTGGGTTAAACAAACACCACACCATGATAAACACATTGATGTTTAATGAAGTGACTGTAACGTTATTATATATAATTAAAAGTCCAGCTCATATTTCACTTCAAAATCAACTGAAAATATTACATGTAATCTTTTTTTTTATATATTATTACACACATTAAAATGTAATAAATAAATAAAATCTTTTATGCAAAAATATTTAAAATTTTATTTTGCATCAATAAAATGTTGTTTTTTGCATTGTGAAATTATTTTCTTGATAATTAAACACTAAAATATAAACATTTAAAACAGGCAGCAAAACATATACTTTTTTTTTTTCATTTTAAGTGTTTTATATTGTCAGTAAGAACGTCGTAGTGCATTAAAAATCATAATGGCTTATTTTTAATTTCTAAAAATAAATGATACATATAAAAATAAATTAGTATTTTTACGCAAAATACTTAAAATTATAGTTTGCATAAAAATGAAGACTATGTAATGCAAATCATTTATCAGAATTATTCAGCTTCACCGCAAGGTTATTATAGTTTAGAATTTTTTAATTAGTTTTATTTTCATTTCGTTTTCAAATTTGCTATAAAATTCAGTTTAGTTTTTATTAGCTTCATTAATATTGTTGTTTAGTTTTTATTTTGTGAACACATTTTTATTAAGTTTTATATAGTTTAGTTTCAGTTTTCAAGTTTAGCAGAATTAACAGATCACTTCCAGAGCGCAGGCCAAAGACAGACTTGAGCCGCGGTCACACTAGACTTTTCGTTCCATTGACTTCCATTCATACGCATGTGAATTTTAGCAGTGTTTTTAGGCATAATTTATATTTTAGGCATAATTTAGCCTTAGTGAGGCAAACGTCTAGCGACATGAAATTAACGCATGCTGAGATTGATTAAATGGAAGTATACAAATATACGGCAAAATGAAGCAGTCAAGCCTTTTTACTAAATAAATCTAAACAAGTTGTGCTTGCTCACTTTTCCGTGAACAACCGCGCATAAATAACTGGGACTAATGAAATTGAATAATAACGGCAATCGCATTTACCAGTAAAGGCTCATATTTGAATATGTTCTTTTCATTTATAAAGAATTATAAGCATGTGTATGATGTGATTTAGCCTATGCATATTTGTCCGAAAGCCTGGCAGAGTGATCACAAGATGCTAGGCTAAAGTTTGTATTGTTTACAGAAAGGATGCGCGTTCTTTTTTTTCTGTTAGCCTAATTATCACATTGCGCTGCGTGTCTGTTTTTCTTCGAAGCGCCAACTTAGAATGCCTAATTTTGGTTTGATTGCTTGTTGTGTTAGATGAGAAAATAAATAATAATAAAAACTCTCCGTCAGATAACCCCATGTGCGCGATGCACCATTTACAGGTAGGCTATTTCCCTAAACCACTACACAGCTCGTATATTTTTCCGCCAAGGGGTGAGAACGTAACGATTACAAAAACGATTATTTATTTTTGATGATTATTATTTTATTTCAGCTAGTTTTTCAATAACTGTTGTTAGTTTCGTTTCGTTTTAGTTTCAGTTTACAAAATTGTTTTTTCATCTATCGTTTTAGTTTTCGTTTACGAAAATAACCTTGCATCACAGTAATAAGAGTTAAGGATTAAATGTGTTTAATTATCAGTAAAAAATTATGTCAGTGCAACAAAAAATTATATATAACTTTATTTAAAGGCACAATATGTAAGATTTTTTTATTAAAATATCCAAGTGTTATATATTTTGCTGACTTGTGTACTTTACATTATCCCAAATGTTTCGAAGAATGTTTAAATCCAGAGAAATAAGCAATTTTAACTAGTTACATGGAGCGTGTCTATAGTGTCATTGTGTCGCCTGCTAATGACGTCATAACTCCTCGATTTCCGGTTTTGTTCTGTAGAAAACATGGAAACATCAAAGACGCTTTAATATGTTGTGTGTTTTAATAGACCGGTGACGACCGCACAGAGTAGCATTATAACAGAACTAAATGTATCTAGTATGATAAAACAGCCCTGCTTTACCCCACATACGCACGACCGGAAGCAGCAGAAGTGCTCGACTGTGGCGTAATAAAAGCTCCGCTACTTTCCAGCCATGTGTCGCGCTTGTTCAGCGCCTCGTTTCGCTTCGACGGCTTTCAGCCTCACCCTGCTTTATTCTACTACGTTAATAAATCATTAGCTCATCCATGAACATGAGTTCTGCCCAAGTCCCATCGGATTGCGTCTGCTGTGGGGATGAAGACCACAACTCCCATGATTCCACACTCAGTCACGGCTTCATCAAACTACGCCTTTGTTTCTTTGTTTGTTTTGAATACATGCCCTCTAGTGGCGAAAATTACATATTGTGCCTTTAAATAAAATGGTTTGAATAATTAACATATTTCAAAATAAATGCATTTCTTTATGAAAAATATTTCAAATTATATTTTGCATAAAGAAAGCCAAAATCATAATGGCTTTATTTAGTTAAATTTCTGAACATGTTGTTGGCAGCATTTACCCTCATGCTCATTTATCTCATCTACTCTTTCTGTGCAGGTGCGCGAGTACGAGGATGAGATCCACTCTCTGAAGGAGCGTCTGATGATGTCCCACCGTAAGCTGGAGGAGTACGAGCGCCGGCTGCATTCGCAGGAGCAGCAGACCAGTAAGATCCTGCTGCAGTACCAGAGCCGGCTGGACGACAGCGAGAGACGCCTGCACCACCAGCAGGTGGAGAAAGACTCGCAGATCAAGGGCATCATCAACAGGTCAGATGCGTGCCACGCGCTCGCGACTTTGTCCCTGCGATTACCAGAGCATCCTGGGAATGTGTGTATGTGTGTGTGTGTTGCAGGTTGATGGTGGTAGAGGATGAGCTGAGGGGAAGTGGAATGCCTGACCTCAAAACCAGAATATTCACAGAACAGGTTTGTCACACGCACACCGGGAAACCACAGGGATTAAAGTTACGTCAGTTCATAAAGACAGTCACTTGCTTCATTCCTGAATGAATCAGCCGTTCGAACGATTCAATTGAATTAATGATTCAGTGATAAAATCAGTGACTTGCTGCCACCTGCTGGCGGATTTAGTTTCATTTTTAGCATATAATTTCAGTTATTTAAATCATATTTCAGTATTCAAAATTGTATATTTAAAACATTAATCTCCACATGAATTTATTAATTTAATTGCACTCATGCGACCTCTGAGACTCATTAAACATCTGAAAAAGTACCTACAAGCCACTTTTGTGTTCTTCTGTGCCACCTCTGTAGTACAAATTAAATTATTAATACTAATTTCATATGATTGGTAACTTATTTGTCTTATTCTACTTATTATTATATTGCAGGGGTTAAAGCAAAAAAAATCTTTTGACAGAATTTTTCTTCGACCAAACCCCATTCCTCAGCCGTACCTGTCACACACCGAGTTTAATGTGTTAATTAGGAGCGCTTGTCATCCTAATTTAAAAATTTAGGAGCACCTTCTGATCAATAATCAAAAATTCTGATAAAAAATTATCCTTCCTAATACTAGGTGACATTTGACTCCTTAAAGTGGCTTACAGGAGTATTTTCTTCTTACATTTTCAATGGCATCATTTTCATCTGTCAGATTCAAAAATTTATGTTTATAAGCTTTTTAAAATTTCTATTTAAAACAATATGTAGAATAAGACAAATAAGTTTCCAATCATATGAAGTTAGTATTAATAATTTGTACTACAGAGGTGGCACAGAACACAAGTGGCTTGTAGGTACATTTTCAGATGTTTAATGAGGCTCAGGGGTCACATGAGTGCAATTAAATTCATGTAGAGATTAATGTTTTAAATATACAATTTTGAATACAGAAATATGATTTAAATAACTGAAATTATACGCTAAAAATTTAACTAAATCCGCCAGCAGGTGGCGGCAAGTCACTGATTTTATCACTGAATCATTAATTCAATTGATTCGTTCGAACGGCTGATTCATTCAGGAATGAAGCAAGTGACTGTCTTTATGAACGTAGAGACGGAACTTTAATCCCTGAAACCATCTGTGACCTTCATGCCACTCCAGCGGAGTGAGCTGGTGTGTGACTTCATCACATCTGTCGTGTGTGTGTGATCGTGAGGAGAGGAAGTGAGCGGAGCTGTGCGGTGTGAACCATGTGACCCATCACTAAACATTTCTGTGTAGACGACCTCACTGATCATAAAGAAAGAGATTCTGTGCAGTCACGTAAAGACACAGTTGCTGTATGTCGTTAACAGTAACGTGACATTATTCTGGAGATTATTCTAGAGTCTATCGGCTGTGCATCACAGGTGTGTGTGTGTATCATTTGTTTCTCTGTAGCTCTAAATGCTTCTCATTCAGTCAGAAGCTAAAGTCTAAATCTGTTTACTAACATCAGTTTGACTGGGATTAATGTAACAATGAATATAGTAATAACTTTCCAGTAACTACAGTGATAAATGTGACCCTGGACCACAAAACCAATTGACCAGTCAATTTAGCTGAATAAGCTGAATAAATATGCTTTCCATTGATGTATGGTTTGTTAGGATAGGACAATATTTGGCCGAGATACAACTATTTGAAAATCTGGAATCTGAGGGTGCAAAAAAAATTGAAAAAATCATCTTTAAAGTTGTTCAAATGAAGTTCTTAGCAATGCATATTATTAATCAAACATTAAGTTTTGATATATTTACGGTAGGAAACTGACTAAATATCCTCATGGAACATAATCTTAATATCCTAATGATTTTTGGCATAAAATAAAAATTTATAATTTTGACCCATACAATGTATTGTTGGCTATTGCTACAAATATCCCCCAGCGACTTAACACTGCTTTTGTGCTCCATGGTCACAAATAAACCGATAACTGTAGTGATAACTGTACTGATAACCATAACAGTAACTATACCGATAACTACAGTAAGAACTATAGTGATATTGTAACAACTATAACAATAACTGTTCCGATAACTGTAGTGATAACTATACCAATAATCATAACAGTAACTACACTGATAACTATACCGATAACTACAGTAAGAACTATAGTGATATTGTAACAACTATAACAATAACTGTTCCGATAACTGTAGTGATAACTATACCAATAATCATAACAGTAACTACACTGATAACTATACCGATAACTACAGTAAGAACTATAGTGATATTGTAACAACTATAACAATAACTGTTCCGATAACTGTAGTGATAACTATACCAATAATCATAACAGTAACTACACTGATAACTATACCGATAACTACAGTAAGAACTATAGTGATATTGTAACAACTATAACAATAACTGTAGTGATAACTATACTGATAACCATAACAGTAACTACACCGATAACTACAGTACAAACTATAGTGATATTGTAATAACAATAACTGTTCCGATAACTGTAGTGATAACTATACTAACAGTAACTACACCGATAACTATAACAATAACTATACCGATAACTACAGTAAGAACTAAAGTGATATTGTAACAACTATAACGATAGCTGTAGTGATAACTATACTGATAACCATAACAGTAACTACACCGATAACTACAGTAAGAACTATAGTGATATTGTAACAACTATAACAATAACTGTTCCGATAACTGTAGTGATAACTACAGTATACTGATAATCATAACAGTAACTATACCGATAACTACAGTAAGAACTATAGTGATACTGTAACAACTATAACAATAACTGTAGTGATAACTATACCAATAATCATAACAGTAACTATACCGATAACTACAGTAAGAACTAGTGATACTGTAACAACTATAGCAATAACTGTTCCGATAACTACAGTAAGAACTATAGTGATATTGTAACAACTATAACAATAACTATTCTGATAACTGTAGTGATAACTATACCAATAGTCATAACAGTAACTATAACAATAACTACACCGATAACTATTAACAGCTTGCAGTTGTGATGAATTTGAGCATTATAACGGATCGGGTCACTGATTCTCGGCTTCTGTTTCTCCCTCAGCCGATTTATGGTGCCCACTCTGGAACATGATTGGCCCGTGCAGGACTAGCGGACCTGTGATTGGTTGAACCTCAACCCAGGAGTGTCTGATGAATGGCTGAGAGAGAAGAGAGAGGCGGAGCCTGAGCAGGATGACCAACTCCAACTGGACAAACTCCCTCTTTCTTTCTCTCTCTCTTTCTCTCTCACACACGCTGAGTGTATATATATATATGTATATTAGTGATATATAACTATATATCCCTCAGGTGTGTATCTCTCTCTCCCCCCTGCTGTCTTTCTCTCTTTCTTCTGAATTTTTTGAGCCAAATGGACGACAATCAGCATCTTAAGGCCGAAACAATCACACCGATAGCACAAAGAAAATCAACGCAGATGGACGGAGGGAGAGAGACGACTTTATACGCTCTCGTTCTCTTCCCATCATCCCCTGCCTCTCTCTCTCTCTCCCTCTTTACTGCAGGAGTGTGTTCGTGTACGTGAGTGTGTGTGTGTTTGATCAGTTGCAGCCTCAACTTCCTAATAATGACTCAATAACGAATCTTGTTTTTGTTCCAAATGATGTTTTGAGGGGCTTGATTCTTTCTGAACCAATCAGACGTCAGCGTGCCGCTCAGAACCCCGCCCCTTCCTGTCCCGGGGGGGGGGGCTCTCCTCTCTGTGCCTAAAGAGCTCCATCGAGAACAACAGTGCAAAAAAAAGACTAGATGAGTGAGTCGGACACTCGGTTTGTTCCATGATCACGTGTTTGCTCATCTCTGACAGAGACGGTCATGTGACTCGCTCGCTTTGCATCGTGGGCCCAAGAGAGGAAGAGCGGTCGGTGGCTTTGCTGTTTTCTGGGATGTGGAGATCGAGCGGACGTGTTCGTTTAGTGCTGGTTTGTGTTTGTGCCAAACGCCCGGATGACGAGGTTTGAGACGCGACCGAGCTAAAATCATCCAGCCGCCCACTGAAGCTCTCTTCAGACCCTAGTGAGCCGCCCGATCCGATGCTTCACACATCCCACAATGCATTGAGAGACAGTGTTTTAAGATGCAGTGGAAAGTCTGAATGTGTATGATAGTGATACATTATTATTCAGTAACTCTTATCTTATATTCAAACTTTAGTTTAACTTGAAATTGTGACAAATATATTACTATTGTACAATAGAATGTACTTCTGAAAATAATAATTCAGTTATTAAAACTTTAGTTTTTACAGAATATCCCAGAATTGTTCTTACACGGGTGTGTTATCATTTTAACAGTATATCTCGTTTTGCGGCACTTTTTACCAAAAAATAAAAGGAATTCATTATTATTTTTGATTGATGAATTAAAAGATTAATTAAATTTTTAGGGTTTATGCCTAAACACATTTTCTAAGGCCTTGTAGCATTATTATTATTAAAATTAACAGACTTTTCGATTATTAAAATGAAATTAAATCTAATTTTTTAAAAATTCAATGGATTTCAGAGGGCCCTAAAAAAATTATTTGTTAAACTTTTACTAAATTGTTGGTCAATTGTATAAGTTGCATAATTTCAATTAATTATGCATGGGTTTTTTTTACTAAAATGGAATTTAACCATTAAAATGGAATTACAGAGAAAAAATCATAAGGCCCTATTATTGTTAAAATTAATTCAATTTTTTGGGATTTATAGGTTATCATTAAAGCATAATCAAGAAAAGCTCCAGAAAATTGAATTTGGGAAAAAATAAAATAGATTTTAAAGTTCCCTGAATTTCTTAGATTAATTGAAGTGGTAATGTGTTTCTTTGTGCTGTTGGGACCGGTCTCATTTTATATTATTATTATTATATTTTTAACCAGGTTAGCATGACATGTTGACAGAAATTCCATAATGGTGCTTCCCTACAAATGTCTATTAATATTTTTCATAAAATAGTATTTCATCTGATATTTGGTGTGATTTTGAGTCTGTGAGGAGCTTTAGTCATCGATGCGGCTCACTAGGTTTGAGAACAGCGCTTGTGCTTCATTCACACACACACACACACACTCGAGCACTGACGTCATCGGCGAGGTCGGCTGCTGATTTCTGTACATAGAGTCCAGATTTATCGATGGAAAGTTTCTCTCATTTTAAGTCGGTTGAGTTTTTCTCTTTTCTTGGTGTTCGATGGATGATACTCATATACGCCAGTAGCTTCTTTGCTGGGGCTTTAGTTGATTACTTTTGTCTTTATTTACTTTTTCTGTTCGAAGTATTACTTTCGTCTGCATTTCAGGTACTACTAGTTATAATGATGATGAACAGTGTTTCTGTGCCTACAGTTCCCACACCGAGCTCTGATTGGCTGAACACGAGTGGTCACATTTAAACGCGTTGCCATAGAGACATCGATTTCACGTTCGATAATGCGAGGGTGTTTTTGGACCGTTTCTGTATCGATACGTTGTTTCTCACCACTTTTGGCACAATTTTGCGATCGTATCAGCCAGCGTTTGTGTATAGGGGTCAGTTATGCTACGACAGATTGTGATTGTGTATCTTTTCCCCATTGTGTAGCACACTAGCTCTTACTGCTATGAGTTTCTGTCTTCATGATGAAACGAACGGTCCTCGCCGCGGGACCCAGCCGCCAATTTAGCCATAGACACGGACAAGCCATAGCATTGACCCTTGACCCTCCGACCCGATTCAGGAGCGTAGGATGTATATATTTATATATTTACCCATGGAAATATTCTCAAATGCGCAAGAGATTTGTTGATTCTAGCGTGGAGCATCTCTGAATATGGAGTGATGTTTTGAATGTTCATATTATTATAAAGATATTATATTCAAATATGATTATTATTGTAATTATGAATTTCATTTTACTGACAACGATTGATAAACAGAAATGTCTTTCTTTTTGTGAATATGGAGAAGTTTACATTTTTCTGGGGAAATATGACAAAACTTTAAATATTTCAACAAATAAATAAATATATACATGCTTAACAGGAGATGTGCTTTTATTTGCTGGAGCGTGAGATTGTTATTCTGTGCGAGTCTGCATATCACAAACACACAGATTCTTTCTTTTTATTCAGCAAAGTACAAAAAAATCTATTTAACCAATAATGTGTAAATCTTTCAGGACAGCCTTCAGTTTTTTAAGTGTCAGGTTCCTGGTACTGTACCGTTTTTTTCATTGACCTTTGAAGGGAAGATTTTCACACCGAGCTGCATATTGTACCTTCAGCTGATTTCATGGTAAACTTTCTCTGCCTTCTTTACAGGTTTGTACATCAGAACATCGTAGCAGGGCCACTGGTCTAACCCAGTTCAAAATTTGAACAGTTTTTACTGTACCAATCTATTTTTATGAACTCTTAAACTTGGCATATTTGACAATAATGGCACCATCAGCCCATTTCGTGGCTATGTTCCTCTGTTTGCTTTGAGGGTGTATTAAAACAAACATAAGGGCTTCATACTAGGGCAACTGCTCTAATCCAAATTTTGGGCTGTTTTTACTTTATGCCAAGTTCAAGGGTCCTTTAAAAAACAGTGACAACTGACAATACATCGAGGCATTTATCAGCCCAAATCACAGCCATTTTCCTCTGCTACCCTTGAGTGTGCATTAAAGTGGATATTAGGACTTTGTAGTAGGTCAACTGCTCTAATGAAATTCCAATTTCAGGCTGTTTTTACTTTATCAGTAATGTTTTATAGCCCCTTGAACTTGGCATATTTGGCAATGCATAAAGACACTTGAATAAAGTCGGCAATTTTGCTTGAGTTTTCTCTATTTGTTTTGAGGTTCAGTGACCACAAGATCTTCATACTAGAGCAATGGCTCTAATGAGATTCAAATGTTGGGCAGTTTTTAATTCACCAGTCTTTTTATGGCCCCTTGACATTTGAAAATAAGTGTTCTTATTGCACCATCAGCCCACTTTGCAGCAAATTTTCTCCAAGCCCTTTGAGGTTGCATTAAAACGGACAAAAGGGCTTCATACTAGGTCTACTGCTCTAATGATATCCCAATATTGGGCCATTTTTACTTAATGAGGCTTTATCTATGGGCCCTTGAACTTGGCTTATTTGAGAATGAACGTGCACTTTCTCCACTCCGTTTGAGGGTGCATTAAAGCAGACAGAAGTGCTTCATAATAAGGCAACTGCTCTTCACACTGGTGTTTTTCCCTCAACATTTAAACAGGCTTGTAAACCCCAACTCTTTTAGAGAACTACAGACCGGTTTCCTTTCTACCTTTCATTGCAAAAACTCTTGAACGATAGATAGGTCCTTCAAGGTATCTTAGAGAGGTGAGGTGTCCAAGTCACAACATCTAGCTACTGGGGTGCCTCAGGGCTCAGTTCTTGGACCACTTCTCGTCTCTGTCTACATGGCATCACTAGGTTCTGTCATTCAGAAACATGGCTTTTCATATCACTGCTATGCCGATGACACTCAACTCTACCTCTCATTCCATCCTGATGATCCGACGATAGCTGCTCGCATCTCAGCATGTCTGACAGTTCTTGTTGGATGACGGACCATCACCTTCAACTCAACCTGGCTAAGACAGAACTGCTTGTGGTTTCAACAAACCCATCACTTCATCAGAATTTCACGATCCAGTTAGGCTCATCAACCATAACTCCTTCAAAAACAGCTAGAAACCTTGGAGTTGTGATTGATGATAAGCTGAATTTCTCAGACCACATTGCTAAAACTGCCCGGTCCTGCAGATTTGCTTTATACATCATTAGGAAGATCAGGCTCTTTCTTTCAGAACATGCTTCACAACTCCTTGTTCAAGCTCTTGTTCTGTCCAGGCTGGACTATTGCAATGCTCTCTTGGCAGGTCTTCCAGCCACTTCTATCAAAACTCTACAAATTAATCCAGAACACGGCAGCAAGATTAATCTTTAATGAGCCGAAAAGAATGCATGTCATACCTCTGTTTATCAGTTTGCACTGGCTACCAATATCTGCTCGCATTAAATTCAAGGCATTAATGTTTGCCTACAAAACCACCACTGGCTCTGCACCCCTTTACCTAAATTCATTACTTCAGAGTTATGTGCCTCTAGAAGCTTGCATTCTGCAAGTGAACGTTGCATTATTGTTCATCTCAGAGGGGCACAAAATCACTTTCACAGAGTCGTTAACCATCTTCAACTCCAGCACTCTATTCTATTTTAATTCTACTTTATCCATATTTATCTTTTTTTTTTTTAAACTAGCTTTCTATTTTATCTACTTGTTTTTCTTTAT